GAAGTAAAGTACACCAAGGGGCTAAGAAAACCGACACAACCAAAATTGTCCTTACCGATACCAGCCTTCGAGAAGAAACTCCAAGAACTACAGATTCCTCATCAAAAGAAGCAGGTGAAGATGCGGTATGGAGCATGGTATCTGCACCCCAAGTTGTGGAAAAGGATAAGAGAAGATGAACCTCTGCTTGACCCTAACGCCGAATTTGTAGTTCAAAATGCCTATTTTAGAAAGGATCGAAAAGAATATGACATTCTTGCAGAGCTTTACGGAACAATCGCCTTTAAGGATTTCATTCTAAGTAAGGGCTACACAATGCCGAGTTTAATCGAAAGGATGTTTATCAGGAAGGGATGGAGATATGATACTGTTAAGACTCCTACAATACTATCAACAAGAAATAGCTCAATCGGGGAGTCTTCAGAAGAGGATTAGATAGTTTTTTATTTAGTACATACTTGGCTATTTCTCTCTCATTGTAAATGTCAGACAGAATTTATGATGCATGCTCTACCATGAATGACGACCTCTGTAAAGTTAACACCTAATGCTTATAAACATTTCTCAGTGACCTTCTGCTTCAGGTTCATCAATGTTTTATCAACTATGAGATCAATATTCATATAGATTCTCACATTTTGGTAGCATTTTGACTATCATATAGTTATATCAATTATTTGTAAAAGTAAATAAAACCATCAATAAAAGCAGAATTACTCTTAATAAAAGAATGAGCTAGTGATGTCAGCTACAATATGGGATGAATCTTAAAATAATTGTGCAGATGGAAATAAGATTTGCATAGTTCTAACTTACATTAACAACAAAGTAATTATGACAATTATTTTGTTAACCAAAAGTTGAGATCTATATCCAAAATAACGTTAGCCCCATTTAATAATGAAATTGGTATCTCTGCTTTCAGGGTCCCATCAAACCGCCAAAAGTGGATTGGAAACTACTTATCAAAATTATAGAAACTTGACTTATTCTGTTTTATCTTACTTCCCAAATCAACATATTTAAAAATGTTCACCATATTCACAAAAATTCAACCGGAAGGAGTGTCTCCATATCATGAAACAGAGGTTCAGAATAGCAGGGAGCTTGAAGTCCCTGGAAAATCTAGTGAACAGAATAAATCTTTGTGAGCAAAGCTCTACAGCAAATTCAAATATCCTCACATAGCTATTTGAATGCAATTAATCTTTGCATTTCATAAATAGCAATTTTAAATGCACTCATAAATTTAAAATAAGAAATCAAACAACTTCTTTACATTTTCAAAATAATAGCTAAAGTTCTCTGGGACTGAGACATCTGTAGCTAGAAAGATTAGTAGTGCAGATCCGAGGTGCACTTCTGTTTCCAGTAACAAAAGAATCCCCCTGTAAGTGGAAGTATATTTTATCCTACTAGGAATGTATATATTTATGTGCAAATGCTCTATTTTCAGTGAAGTGTGTCTGTGAGAATCCTGTGCCTGAAGAAAGGAGAATATCTATGTATTTTTGTAAGTCAAGACCTAGATTTTCTCTTCAAATTCATCACCTTAAAGTTCTTTTTTTTTTATTTTTTCCAGTACAAAAATATAGACATAGATTGTTCAGTGACTCTAATTGTTCTCCCCATACTGTGACAGCACACTCTTCCTTTCCACCCCTGATTCCCCATGTCATCACCTTAAACTTATTTCACCACTGTATCTCATTGTATTTCTACAAGAGCTTTCAAACTAGTCACTCTTCTCCTTGACTATATATTTCTAAAATGAAAATCTGGTCAAATTAACACCCTTGTTAATTCTCCAGGCTCATTAAACTTACCTACACACACACACACATACACACACACACACACACACACACACACACACACCTGCATTGCAAAGAACATACCCAGCTACAAAAGTCACCACACTCAAGAGCTATACTTTGTTTATGGTCCTCCTGGTTCTGGTAATTTTCCAGTCAAGAGTAAGTTTTAATGTAAGTAAAGATGCCTAGGAACAATACTGATATTCCACTTTTATCAGGATTCCTGGGAAGTAGAGCTTGAATGTTTACCCCAGGTCCATCAATTTCCCATATAGAAAGAAAGGGTTTTGTTCACCCTTTATCCACATTTGATTATAATGTAAATTAATCAAAGTAAGCCAACTGATATAATACTGTCAATATTTACATGGCTTGCTGTTGTTATTAGGTGC